ACTGAAATCACATGTCCTCTACCTGCCCCTGTCCTTTGCTGTTCCCTCACCAAGCGAAGTATCGCATGCTGTGGGCTCAGCCCCACTGTACAGTGAGGAAGAGCTAACAGAGGGCGGTCAGGAACGGGGGGAGACATCGGCCTTTTCAGCAGCCAGGCGAACAAGTACTGGCGAGGAGAGTGGCTCGGTAGCCGGTCTAGAGACAGGTCTGTCTCCTGACCCAGACGCAGCCGAGGGGGCTAGTAGTGAGGCGGAGACCTACTTGATGATGAGGAGGTTGATCGCACTTGGCTGCCTCGTCGTCATCAGGCAATTTCTTCCGCATCATCAGGAGAAGAGGGTGAGCTTGGCAGCGAGCGAAACAGTCGGTGGGTTGCCCAGGAGGCAGCAGGGTCGCATCAGTGTCAGTGGAGCCAAACGTCCACGGAGTAGAGCACCAGCTCCACTGCAGCCTACCACCACGGCCAGTAGTGGTGCCGGTGCGCACGGAGGAAGTAGCAGTCAGCCAGTGAGGAGTAGCGGGGGCAAAGTTTCCTACTCGGTGGTGTGGCAATTTTTCGTCAAGCCGCCCGAGGAAGTAAACGTAGCCGTATGTCGACTATGTGGCCAGAAATGCAAGCGTGGCCAGGGGGCCCATGTTGGGACTACAGCGTTGCGTCAGCATATGCAGCGTCACCATTCGGTGGCCTGGGAAAACCGTGATAAAGATACGGCGGTTCTGCCTGCCCCAGCCCCCGCTCCATCACCCGCTCCGTTACTTGCTCCGTCACCCGACGTCGTCAATCACCCTCTATCAGCCAGTCAAGGCTCCAACACCTCTGCTGAGGGGAGTTGTCGCTCGTTGGCATCTTCCGCTCGTTCAGATGCTCCTTCTCCTGCTACTCCTCTTCTCGGATTCCGTCAACAGTCTTTCTTGGAATCCGTTTCCAAGAGACAACAGTTTGCGAGCACGCACCCGACGGTGCAAAAGCTGAACGTCCTCCTGTCCAAGTTGCTGGTGCTGCAGTCCCTCCCTTTCCAACTGGTGGACTCAGCACCTTTCCGAGAAATGATGGCTTGTGCCGCGCCGCGGTGGAGAGTGCCAAGCCGTCATTTCTTCGCCCAAAAGGCAGTGCCAGCCCTGCATTCACATGTAGAAGAGATGGTGGGCCAGTCTTTGAGCATGTCGGTCTCTGCCAAAGTGCACGGCAGCGCCGACGTGTGGAGCTGTAACTACGGTCAGGGACAGTACATGTCATTTACGGCCCACTGGGTGAACGTGGTGCCGGCACAGCCGCACCAGCAACTTGGACAGGTCACGACGCTTTTGCCTCCACGTTTGCACGTCCTTGGTCCAGCAAACATGTCCGCCTCTACCACCTCTTTTTCCGCCGTGTCCTCAGCCGCCACCCCCCCCCGTGCCAAGTCCCATTACCCGACCGGCATATCACATGTGCAGGGCGCAACGGTGTCACGCTGTGCTGCACCTGGTATGCCTTGGCGAACGTAGTCACACAGGGGAGGAACTTCTGAGTGTAATGAACAGAGAAATCGACAGATGGCTGTCTCCGCGCAAACTGAAAATCGGAACCATGTTGACCGACAACGGAAAGAACATGGTGTCTGCTCTGCGTCAAGGAAGGTTGTGCCATGCGCCATGCATGGCTCACGTGTTCAATCTGGTTGTCAAGCGGTTCCTAAAATCCACCATCCCACTGCAAGACATCCTTAAAATGTCACGTAAACTGTGCATGCATTTCAGCCATTCCTACACCGCAAAGAACACCCTCATTGAGCTGCAGCGGCAGAACGGAATTCCACAGCATCGCCTGATCTGCGACGTTGCAACAAGGTGGAATTCAACCCTACACATGTTAGACCGCCTTTACGAGCAGCGAAAGGCCATCACCGATTTCCTGATGTTACAAGCGGATAAAGGTACTCCCCTGTGTAACTTAGATGTCAGCCATTGGCAGCTCATGCGTGACACCTGCCGCTTGCTCAGGCCCTTTGAGGAGGCCACGCTATTCGTGAGTCGGCAGGACTATGGGATGAACGACGTCATTCCTCTGTTGCACGTCCTGGAACAAATGCTGTTAACAATGGCTGGTCAGGGTGCGGTAGACGTGGCGCACAGATCTCAACGCCACATGACCCCCCTGGGGGGGCAGGACAGGAGAAGAGGAGGAGGTAGAGGAGGACATTTGTGCTCAGGAATTATTGAGTGAAATGGGTGGTTTTTCCACTCAGCGGACAGGAGTGGAGGAGCAGGAGCATCTGGTAGAGGAGGAGGAGGAGGAGACAGAGGACCCAGACGCACCGTGGCAGTATGCTGTGGAGATGGAGGCAGGGAGTCCCTCGCATTCCTTGGCACAAATGGCCATAGCATAGCATGCTCGGTTGCTTGCGTAGCGACAGCCGAATAATAACCATCAGACAGAGGGATGACTTTTGGCTGTCCACCTTGTTGGACCCTCGCTACCGTTCCAAAATGGTGGCCTTTTTCACACCTGCTGAGAGGGAGGCCAAAAAATTACGTACTATAAAAACCACCTATGTAGTCAGTTGGTCTCTGCCTTTGTGCGCCAACGTCCATCCTCAGACACTGTGGGCCCTGTGCGCTCGCGTTCCGCTGCCATGGCAGCAGGGGAGGGGTGGGGTGGTAGGAGCAGTGGCAGCTCCACCAGCAGCGGCTGCCTCAGTCTGCAGTCGATGATGAGTAGCTTTCTTCACCAGCGCAGTGAGGAAACTACTAACCAGCCGCAGCAGCAGCAGCAGCAGCATCAGGTGGACCTGGAGCAGGAGCTCAAACAACAGGCTTGGGCCTACTTGGACAGCACCCTGCCAACCGAGGTAGACAATCCCCTTGACTACTGGGCAACGAAACTTGACCTTTGGCCCCAACTAGCTGAATTTGCCCTTGAAAGGCTGTCATGCCCGGCCAGTAGCGTGGCATCGGAGCGCGTGTTTAGTGCGGCAGGAGGTATTGTAACTCCGCGGAGGACACGACTGTCCACCCAAAGTGTGGAGAGACTCACGTTTGTGAAAATGAATCAGGCGTGGATTAGTCTGGATTTCAAACCACCAGTTCCTGACACAACTGACTAAATCCGCCATGAATCATGCCCCAAACATGTGCCACTTTCAGGTCTCCTCACACATGTGCCACATTGCTGGCAGGGCCTCCCATAGCTGCTCCATCACTGCTCAGGTCTCTTCACACTGTGTTGAATTTTTTGACATAGGGTGCTGGCAGATTACGGGCCTCCCTATAGCTGCTGCCAGGCCCCTAATCTGCCATGGGCCCCTATATACCGCCTCCTCATGCTGCTGCCAAGTCCAGAGTCTCTCATGGGTCCCTGTACGGCCTCCCATTGCTGCTGTCTCCATCGCCACACTCTGCCATGTGCCACTTTCAGGTCTCTTCACACTGCTGTGTGTTGAATTTTTTGACATAGGGTGCTGGCAGATTACGGGCCTCCCATAGCTGCTGCCAGGCCCCTAATCTGCCATGGGCCCCTATATACCGCCTCCTCATGCTGCTGCCAAGTCCAGAGTCTCTCATGGGTCCCTGTACGGCCTCCCCCATTGCTGCTGTCTCCATCGCCACACTCTGCCATGTGCCACTTTCAGGTCTCCTCACACTGCTGTGTGGTGTTTTGAATTTTTTGACATAGGGTGCTGGCAGATTACGGGCCTCCCATAGCTGCTGCCAGGCCCCTAATCTGCCATGGGCCCCTATATACCGCCTCCTCATGCTGCTGCCAGGTCCAGAGTCTCTCATGGGTCCCTGTACGGCCTCCCATTGCTGCTGTCTCCATCGCCACACTCTGCCATGTGCCACTTTCAGGTCTCTTCACACTGCTGGGTGCACTGCTCCACTGCAGGCCCCTTGTGCCATTTTTTGACATAGGGTGCTGGATTACGGGCCTCCCATAGCTGCAGCCTCCATCGCCATGCCATGGGCCTTTTCTAATCATGCCATGGGCCCCTATATACTGCCTCCTCATGCTGCAGATTAAGCCCTCCCAGGCCAGGCCCCATCTGTGGGTACCCCTGCTGCTCCCCATGTGGTGCCCTGCTCTCCATCGCCACACTCTGCCATGTGCCACTTTCAGGTCTCCTCACACTGCTGGTGTGTTGAATTTTTTGACATAGGGTGCTGGCAGATTACGGGCCTCCCATAGCTGCTGCCAGGCCCCTAATCTAATCTGCCATGGGCCCCCCTATATACCGCCTCCTCATGCTGCTGCCAAGTCCAGAGTCTCTCATGGGTCCCTGTACGGCCTCCCATTGCTGCTGTCTCCATCGCCACACTCTGCCATGTGCCACTTTCAGGTCTCCTCACACACTGCTGGTGTGTTGAATTTTTTGACATAGGGTGCTGGCAGATTACGGGCCTCCATAGCTGCTGCCAGGCCCCTAATCGCCATGGGCCCCTATATACCGCCTCCTGCTGCTGCTGCCAAGTCCAGAGTCTCTCATGGGTCCCTGTACGGCCTCCCATTGCTGCTGTCTCCATCGCCACACTCTGCCATGTGCCACTTTCAGGTCTCCTTCACACTGCTGGTGTGTTCCATTTTTTGACATAGGGTGCTGGCAGATTACGGGCCTCCCATAGCTGCTGCCAGGCCCCTAATCTGCCATGGGCCCCTATATACCGCCTCCTCTGCTGCTGCCAGGTCCACAGTGTCTCATGGGTCCCTGTACGGCCTCCCATTGCTGCTGTCTCCATCACCACTCTGCCATGTGCCACTTTCAGGTCTCTCACACTCTCTGCTGGTTGTTGAATTTTTTGACATAGGGGTGCTGGCAGATTACGGCCTTCCATAGCTGCTGCCAGGCCCCTAATCTGGGCCCCATGGGCCCCCGTACCGCCCTGGTCATGCTGCTGCTGCTGGTCCCCACAGTGTGACCTGGGTCCCTGTACGGCCTCCCATTGCTGCTGTCTCCATCGCCCACTCTGCCATGTGCCACTTTTGAGGTCTCCTGTCTCCTCACACTGCTGTTGTGTTGAATTTTTTTGACATAGGTTGCTGGCAGATTACGGGCCTCCCATAGGTGCCTGCCAGGCCCCTAATCGGCCATGGGCCCCCCCGTACCGCCTGGTCTCGCTGCTGCTGCTGCTGGGTCCAGTGTGACCTGGGTCCCTGTACGGGCTCTCCCATTGCTTCCACTCCATGCCATGTGCCATGTGCCACTTTCTCTCCACACACTGCTGGTGTTTCCATTTTTTGACATAGGTTGCTGGCAGATTACGGGCCTCCATAGTGCCTGCCAGGCCCCAATCGGCCATGGGCCCCCGTACCGCCTGGTCACTGCTGCTGCAGTCCCACAGTGTGACCTGGGTCCCTGTACGGCCTCCCATTGCTGCTCTCCACTCCATGTGCCACTTTCAGGTCTCTCTCTCACACTGCTGGGTTTTCCATTTTTTGACATAGGTTGCTGGCAGATTACAGGCCTTCCATAGGTGCCGCCAGGCCCCAAATCGGCCATGGGCCCCCGTACCGCCCTCACGTCACGCTGCTGCTGGTCCCACAGTGTGACCTGGGTCCCCCTGTACTCCCATTTGCTCTCCATTGCTCCACTCTGCCATGTGCCACTTTGAGGTCTCCTCACACTCCTGCGGTTTTCCATTTTGTCATAGGTTGCTGGCAGATTACGGGCCTTCCATAGGTGCTGCCGCCAGCCCCCAATCGGCCATGGGCCCCCGTACCGCCTGGTCACGCTGCTGCTGAGCCCACAGTGTGACCTGGGTCCCTGTACGGCCTCCCATTGCTTCCACTCTGCCATGTGCCACTTTGGTCTCTCCTCACACTCCTGTGTTTTCCATTTTTTGACATAGGTTGCTGGCAGATTACAGGCCTTCCATAGGTGCCGCCAGGCCCCCAAATCGGCCATGGGCCCCCCCGTACCGCCTGGTCACGCTGCTGCTGGTCCCACAGTGTGACCTGGGTCCCTGTACGGCCTCCCATTGCTTCCACTCTGCCATGTGCCACTTTGAGGTCTCCTCACACTCCTGCGGTTGTTCCATTTTGTCATAGGTTGCTGGCAGATTACAGGCCTTCCATAGGTGCCGCCAGGCCCCATATCGGCCATGGGCCCCCGTACCGCCCGCCTGGTCACGCTGCTGCTGAGTCCCACAGTGTCCCTGGGTCCCTGTACGGCCTCCCATTGCTTCCACTCTGCCATGTGCCACTTTGAGGTCTCCTCACACTCCTGCGGTTTTCCATTTTGTCATAGGTTGCTGGCAGATTACGGGCCTTCCATAGGTGCCGCCAGGCCCCAAATCGGCCATGGGCCCCCGTACCGCCTGGTCACGCTGCTGCTGGTCCCACACAGTGTGACCTGGGTCCCTGTACGGCCTCCCATTGCTTCCACTCTGCCATGTGCCACTTTGAGGTCTCCTCACACTCCTGGGTTTCCATTTTTTGTCATAGGTTGCTGGCAGATTACAGGCCTTCCATAGGTGCCGCCAGGCCCCAAATCGGCCATGGGCCCCCGTACCCGCCTGGTCACGCTGCTGCTGCTGGCCCCACAGTGTGACCTGGGTCCCCCTGTACGGCCTCCCCTGCTTCCACTTGCCATGTGCCACTCTGCAGGCAGCAGCTGGGTCCAGCAGTGTCATAGGTTGGCAGAAAGGGTCCCATAGTAGAGCAGCAGCTCCACTGCGGCCTACCCCCCACCATTTTGCTGCTGTGTCCCATAGTGGTGTGCTGGCACGGAGGAAGTAGCCCCCATGAGGTAGCGGGTGCAAAGGCCCCATTACTCGGCCGGTTGTGGCAAGTTACAGGCCGTCCGCCAGCCGCCCGAGCCTGGTAAACGCCCGTATGTGACTATGTGGCCAGAAAGTCAGTGTGGCCAGGGGGCCCTGTTGGGACTACAGCCATTGCGTCAGCATATGCAGCGTCGCCATTGTGCCACTTTAAAGATACGGCGGTTCTCCTGCCCCACCCTGGGTTCCATTTTGTCATAGGTTGCTGGCAGATTACAGGCCTCCCATAGGTGCCGCCAGGCCCCAAATCGGCCGGCCCCCGTACCGCCTGGTCACGCTGCTGCTGGGCCCACAGTGTGACCTGGGTCCCTGTACGGCCTCCCATTGCTTCCACTCTGCCATGTGCCACTTTGAGGTCTCCTCACACACTCCTGCGGTTTTCCATTTTGTCATAGGTTGCTGGCAGATTACAGGCCTTCCATAGGTGCCGCCAGGCCCCAAATCGGCCATGGGCCCCCGTACCGCCTGGTCACGCTGCTGCTGGGCCCCACAGTGTGACCTGGGTCCCTGTACGGCCTCCCATTGCTTCCACTCTGCCATGTGCCACTTTGAAATCTCCTCACACTCCTGCGGTTGTCCATTTTGTCATAGGTTGCTGGCAGATTAGGCCTTCCATAGGTGCCGCCAGGCCCCATATCGGCCATGGGCCCCCGTACCGCCTGGTCACGCTGCTGCTGAGCCCACAGTGTGACCTGGGTCCCTGTACGGCCTCCCATTGCTCCCACTCTGCCATGTGCCACTTTGAAATCTCCTCACACTCCTGCGGTTTCCATTTTGTCATAGGTTGCTGGCAGATTACAGGCCTCCCAGGTGCCGCCAGGCCCCATATCGGCCATGGGCCCCCGTACCGCCTGGTCACGCTGCTGCTGGTCCCACAGTGTGACCTGGGTCCCTGTACGGCCTCCCATTGCTTCCACTCTGCCATGTGCCACTTTGAGGTCTCCTCACACTCCTGCGGTTTTCCATTTTGTCATAGGTTGCTGGCAGATTAGCAGGCCTTCCATAGGTGCCGCCAGGCCCCATATCGGCCATGGGCCCCCGTACCGCCTGGTCACGCTGCTGCTGGTCCCACAGTGTGACCTGGGTCCCTGTACGGCCTCCCATTGCTTCCACTCTGCCATGTGCCACTTTGAAATCTCCTCACACTCCTGCGGTTGTCCATTTTGTCATAGGTTGCTGGCAGATTACAGGCCTTCCATAGGTGCCGCCAGGCCCCAAATCGGCCATGGGCCCCCCGTACCCGCCTGGTCACGCTGCTGCTGGGCCCACAGTGTGACCTGGGTCCCTGTACGGCCTCCCATTGCTGCTGCCAGGAGGCAGCAGGGTCGCAGCAGTGTCAGTGGAGGCTCCGGCCACACTAGAGCAGCAGCTCCAGCTCCAGCTGCAGCCTACCACCACAGCCAGTAGTGGTGCCGGTGTGCACGGAGGAAGTAGCAGTCAGCCAGTGAGGAGTAGCGGGTGCAAAGTTTCCTATATCGGCCGGTGTGGCAAGTTTTCGTCAAGCCGCCCGAGGAAGTAAACGTAGCCTAATGTCGACTATGTGGCCAGAAAGTCAAGCGTGGCCAGGGGGCCCATGTTGGGACTACCCGTTGCGTCAGCATATGCCAGCGTCGCCATTCGGTGGCCTGGGAAAAACGTCACAAAGATACGGCCTGGTTCTGCCTGCCCCAGCCCAGGGTTCCATTTTGTCATAGGTTGCTGGCAGATTACGGGCCTCCCATAGGTGCCGCCAGGCCCCAAATCGGCCATGGGCCCCCCCCGTACCGCCTGGTCACGCTGCTGCTGGCCCACAGTGTGACCTGGGTCCCTGTACGGCCTCCCATTGCTTCCACTCTGCCATGTGCCACTTTGAGGTCTCCTCACACTCCTGCGGTTTTCCATTTTGTCATAGGTTGCTGGCAGATTACAGGCCTTCCATAGGTGCCGCCAGGCCCCAAATCGGCCATGGGCCCCCGTACCGCCTGGTCACGCTGCTGCTGGGCCCACAGTGTGACCTGGGTCCCTGTACGGCCTCCCATTGCTTCCACTCTGCCATGTGCCACTTTGAAATCTCCTCACACTCCTGCGGTTGTCCATTTTGTCATAGGTTGCTGGCAGATTAGCGGCCTTCCATAGGTGCCGCCAGGCCCCATATCGGCCATGGGCCCCCGTACCGCCTGGTCACGCTGCTGCTGGTCCCACAGTGTGACCTGGGTCCCTGTACGGCCTCCCATTGCTCCCATCTGCCATGTGCCACTTTGAGGTCTCCTCACACTCCTGCGGTTTTCCATTTTGTCATAGGTTGCTGGCAGATTAGCGGCCTTCCATAGGTGCCGCCAGGCCCCATATCGGCCATGGGCCCCCGTACCGCCTGGTCACGCTGCTGCTGCTGGTCCCACAGTGTGACCTGGGTCCCTGTACGGCCTCCCATTGCTTCCCACTCTGCCATGTGCCACTTTGAGGTCTCCTCACACTCCTGCGGTTTTCCATTTTGTCATAGGTTGCTGGCAGATTAGCGGCCTTCCATAGGTGCCGCCAGGCCCCATATCGGCCATGGGCCCCCGTACCGCCTGGTCACGCTGCTGCTGGTCCCACAGTGTGACCTGGGTCCCTGTACGGCCTCCCATTGCTTCCACTCTGCCATGTGCCACTTTGAAATCTCCTCACTGTGGCTCCAAACACTGGTTTTGGCCCCGTGACTGCCCAAATGAGTGAAGTGTGCGGTGATTCTAAGATCGACGGCACTCATCTGCATGTCATACTGACTGACAGTATTATTTCTCTTCCCCAGCAGACTCCAAGGGCATTTAAATTAAAGGTACAGTGTTCTGCACTAATATTAAGTCTCTCTGAAGCCTAGAAACGCCCTTTTTTAAGTTAAATTCACAGCGAATTTATTCTACTCGAATCGAATATTGTCCACGAATTCGCCGAATCAGTCGAATCGAATTTTTCATTTCTTCGCTCATCTCTATTCACTATCATCCACACTGGACTCACTTGTTCCTCTAACAACGCGAAGCATCAGGCCCCGACCATTACATCCGTGGCAGACTGACCACACCAGACATCTTAGGAGACATAGTAGTGCGCTGGAGCGATTGTGGCGTAAAACCAAATCTCAGCAAGCATTCACCCGATATAAATCTGCTTTCTTCACATACAATTCCTCCCTTCATGCTGCCAAACAAGACGACTTTGTCACTCTTATTAATACATTGTCATCCAGTCCTTGTCGTCTCTTCTCTACTTTTAACTCTCTCTCTACTTTCTCCACCTCCACCCAGTACGTCACTCACTGCTCATGAGATTGCAAATCATTTCAAAAACAAGATTGACGCAATTCGTAGGGGCATCACCACTGCACAGACATCCATCCAACTTAGCATACCTTATACTAAACCTCCCTCAACACTTTCCTCTTCTGACCTCGCTACTACTGAAGAGGTCACTAAGGTTTTCTCAGAAGCCCGTCTCACACTACCTGCCCCCTGGATCCTGTCCCCTCACAACTACTACGGTCACCCCCTTCTTCCATCCTATGCTCCCTCACTCACATCTTCAATCTTTCCCTCTCTAATGGTGCCTTCCCCACCCCTCTAAAGCATGCACACATCATTCCCATACTTAACAAGCCCTCCCTGGACCCCACCAACCTGAACAACTTAAGACCCATCTCCCTGCTGCCATTTACCTCTAAACTCCTAGAACGCTTAGTCTACAATCGCCTGATCTCCCACCTCACCGACAACAACATTCTTCACCCTTTACAGTCTGGCTTTCACTCTCTACACTTCACTGAAACTGCCCTACTAAACCTCACTAATGATCTACTAACTGCTAAAACCAATGGCCACTACTCCATACTAATCCCAACCAATGACCACTACTCCGTACTCATCCCAACCAATGGCCACTACTCCGTACTCATCCCAACCAATGGCCACTACTCCGTACTCATCCCAACCAATGGTCACTACTCCATACTTATCCCAACCAATGACCACTACTGCATTCTCATCCCAACCGATGGCCACTACTCCGCACTCACCCAACCGATGGCCACTACTCCGTACTCATCCCAACCAATGGCCACTACCCCGTACTCATCCCAGCCAATGGCCATTACTCCGTACTCATCCCAACCAATGGTCACTACTCCGTACTCATCCCAACCAATGACCACTACTCCATTCTCATCCCAACCGATGGCCAATACTCCGCACTCTCATCCCAACCAATGGCCACTACTCCATACTCATCCCAACCAATGGCCACTACTCCGTACTAATCCCAACGAATGACCACTACTCCGTACTCTTACTACTTAACCTCTCTGCGGCTTTTGATACTGTTTACCATCCCCTCCTCCTCAAAAAACTCCACTCTCTTGGCCTCCGAGACTCTGCTCTCTCCTGGTTCTCCTCCTACCTATCACAGCGCTTCTTCAGCATTACCTATAATGCTGCCACCTCCCCCTCACTTCCTATTTCTGTAGAGGTCCCTCAAGGCTCTGTCCTTAGACCCCTTCTCTTCTCCATCTACACCTCCTCCCTTGGTCACTTGATAAACTCCCATGGCTTTAAGTACCATCTCTGTGCTGATGACACACAAATCTATCTCTCTACCCCTCACCTCACCCCTTCAGTCTCCTCCTCACCTCACCCCTTCAGTCTCCTCTCGCATTACTAACCTACTAAGTGACATATCGGCATGGATGTCACTCCACTTCCACAAACTCAATCTTTCCAAAACTGAGCTCTTAGTATTCCCCCCAGCCTGTGCCCCTCCCCTGACTTCTCCATCAAGATCAATAATACAACCATCATTCCCTCCCCTCATGCCAGGGTACTAGGTGTAATCCTAGACTCCCATCTGTCCTTTCAGCCCCAAATCCAATCACTGTCCAAATCTTGTAGACTTCACCTCCGCAACAGCTCCAAGATACGCCCGTTCCTAACCTCGGAAACCACTAAGCAACTTATTCACTCCCTTGTTATATCTCGCCTTGACTGTTGTAACTCCCTCCTCATTGGCCGACCTCATCGCAGGGTATCCCCTCTTCAGTCTATCATGAATGCTGCTGCCAGACTCATCCACCTTACTAACCGTTCTGTATCTGCCACCCTCTCTCTGCCAATCCCTCCAGTGGCCTCCATTCAGTGTCCTCCACCCCTCTCTGCCAATCCCTCCACTGGCCTCCATTCAGTGTCCTCCACCCCTCTCTGCCAATCCCTCCACTGGCCTCCACTCAATGTTCTCCAGCCCTCTCTGCCAATCCCTCTAGTGGCCTCCATTCAGTGTCCTCCACCCCTTTCTGCCAATCCCTCCACTGGCCTCCACTCAGTGTTCTCCAGCCCTCTCTGCCAGTCCCTCCAGTGACCTCCATTCAGTGTTCTCCATCCCTCTCTGCCAATCCCTCCTCTGACCTCCACTCAGTGTTCTCAATCCCTCTCTGCCAATCCCTCCACTGGCCTCCATTCAGTGTCCTTCACCCCTCTCGCCAATCCCTGCACTGGCCTCCACTCAGTGTCCTCCATCCCTCTCTGCAAATCCTTCCACTGACCTCCACTCTCTCTGCCAATCCCTCCACTGGCTTCCCATTGCCCAACGGATAAAATTCAAAACATTAACAATAACATATAAAGCCATTTATAATTCTGCCCCAAATTACATCACCAATCTTGTCTCTTTATCACCCAAACATCATCCTCTCCGCTCCTCGCAAGACCTTCTGCTCTCTAGCTCCCTTGTCTCCTCCTCCCATGCTCATCTCCAGGACTTCTCCCATCCTCTGGAACTCTCTACCCCAATTTATCAGACTATCGCCTACTCTGCTCACGTTTAGGTGATCTCTAAAAATCTATCGCTTCAGGGAAGCCTATCCTGCCCTCAGCTAATAATGGAATCTTCTACTCCTCCAACCAGTCCATCCCCCACAGTTACTACCTTTTGTACCACTAGCCCCTCCCTCCTAGATTGTAAGCTCCCAGGATCAGGCCCTCCTATCCCTCTTGTATTGAACTGTATTGTTGCTGTATTGTCTCCCTTTATATTGTAAAGCGCTGAGCAAACTGTTGGCGCTATATAAGTCATGCATAATAATAATAATATTTTTTTCTCTCTCATCCCGCTGGCTGAACGATAAAAACTGAACCATGTAGGCCAGCTTTGGGAGCAAATATATTATCATCAACTCCTCCCCCTGAAGGGGTTAATCTGGGTCCCCACACTATATATGTGTGTAACATCATCTGCTGGAGATAAAAGACATCACAATTAGAGATGACCAAATTTCTCAAAAAATTCGATTCGGCTGATTCGGCGAAATTCCAGTATGAAATTCGATTCGATGCGAATTAATTCGCTACGAAGTTAACTTATTAAAGGGTTTCTAGGCTTCAGAGAGCCTTTAAATTAGTGCAGAACACTGTACCTTTAATTTAAATGCCCTTGGAGATGAGGAAGGAGAAGGAGAAGGATGAGAAGAAGGAGAAGGAGAAGGATGAGAAGAAGGAGAAGGATGAGAAGAAGGAGAAGGAGAAGGAGAAGGATGAGAAGAAGAAGGAGAAGGAGAAGGATGAGAAGAAGGAGAAGGATGAGAAGAAGGAGAAGGAGAAGGATGAGAAGAAGGAGAAGGAGAAGGATGAGAAGAAGGAGAAGGATGAGAAGAAGGAGAAGGAGAAGGATGAGAAGAAGGAGAAGGATGAGAAGAAGGAGAAGGAGAAGGATGAGAAAGTAGGAGAAGGATGAGAAGAAGGAGAAGGATGAGAAGAAGGATGAGAAGAAGGAGAAGGATGAGAAGAAGGATGAGAAGAAGGAGAAGGATGAGAAGAAGGAGAAGGAGAAGGATGAGAAGAAGGAGAAGGATGAGAAGAAGGAGAAGGATGAGAAGAAAGGAGAAGGAGAAGGAGAAGCAGAAGGAGAAGGATGAGAAGAAGGAGAAGGAGAAGGATGAGAAGATGGAGAAGGAGAAGGATGAGAAGAAGGAGAAGGAGAAGGATGAGAAGAAGGAGAAGGATGAGAAGAAGGAGAAGGAGAAGGATGAGAAGAAGGAGAAGGATGAGAAGAAGGAGAAAGGATGAGAAGAAGGAGAAGGAGAAGGATGAGAAGAAGGAGAAGGATGAGAAGAAGGAGAAGGAGAAGGATGAGAAGAAGGAGAAGGATGAGAAGAAGGAGAAGGAGAAGGATGAGAAGTAGGAGAAGGATGAGAAGAAGGAGAGGATGAGAAGAAGGATGAGAAGAAGGAGAAGGATGAGAAGAAGGATGAGAAGTAGGAGAAGGATGAGAAGAAGGAGAAGGATGAGAAGAAGGAGAAGGATGAGAAGAAGGAGAAGGATGAGAAGAAGGAGAAGGAGAAGCAGAGAGGAGAAGGATGAGAAGAAGGAGAAGGATGAGAAGATGGAGAAGGAGAAGGATGAGAAGAAGGAGAAGGATGAGAAGAAGGAGAAGGAGAAGGATGAGAAGAAGGAGAGAAGGAGAAGGATGAGAAGAGGAGAAGGATGAGAAGAAGGAGAAGGATGAGAAGAAGGAGAAGGATGAGAAGAAGGAGAAGGAGAAGGATGAGAAGAAGGAGAAGGATGAGAAGAAGGATGAGAAGAAGGATGAGAAGAAGGAGAAGGATGAGAAGAAGGAGAAGGATGAGAAGAAGGATGAGAAGAAGGAGAAGGATGAGAAGAAGGACAGTTTCTGTGACAGTTTCTGTCTATTTCTGACAGTTCTGGGACATTCACTCCATACAGCGGTTTCAACCGCTGTATGGAGGGAATGTCATAGAACTGTCAGAAATAGACTATTTCTAACAGTTCTGGGACACTCACTCCATACAGCGGTTGAAACATTGTATCTATTTGTTTCCATAATGGATCAATTTATGGAAACAAAGAATGTCCCAGAAACTGTCATTAATAGTCTATTTCTGACAGTTCTATGACATTCCCTCCCATACAGCGGTTTGACAACCATTGTAATCTATTTTTTTCCCATAAAATGACCATTCTGCAGATACACATAGAGGAGCTCTGCAGATAAACTTGTTTGCCGGCTTGGAATTAGTCTTATTCTTCATCCTACTTTTCTTCTTCATTTCCTCATCTCTCATAAGATGAAGAGAGGATGAGGATGAAGAAGAAGATGAAGTAGGATGAAAATAAGAATAATTCCAAGCCAGGCAAAAAAGTGTATCTGCACAGCGTCTTCCCTCTAAGTGTATCTGCAAGAATGTCATTTTATGGAAAAAAAAATAGATACAATTGTTTTCCAACCGCTGTTATGGAAGGATGTCCCAGAATACTGTCATAAATAGTCTATTTCTGACAGTTCTGGGACATTCCCTTCCATAGACAGCGGTTTCCGGCAAAAAAGTGATATGGCAGAGTTCCTCTATTATTGCAGTTTTCACTTGAGGAAACTCTGCAGATACACTTAGAGGAGCTCTGCACATACACTTTTTGCCGGTTGGAAATTTTTTCTTATTTTCTTTC